ACACAATATTTAACAAATGAATACTGTTAACAAAATGTGTGGTATACGGAACCAAATAGCGAGGTTTCGCGATCGTTTACAGCCTGTTTTCCGAGTTAATTTACATATTCGTATATAAATTTCGTGAACGGTAGTTTTTGTTAACCCGATAAAATTCTAATCACAAGTAGGAATTGTGAAAAAGATAAGCTTCTCGGTGCATAAAAGCAGAAAATTGAACCACTTGCCTGCAAAATATGTGGCTTGGAATCGGTGACCTTGGGACTGGCGACCAGAAATAAACAGGAGGGTCAGTTGGTTTCCTGTAGTGTAATACAATCTGAAATGGTCGTTAACCACCTTCCCCATGACAGGAGACATGCAATCCGGACCATCAAATAGTAGGATATAATTCTCAGACTCTTGATAGTCTTCGTTTAGCTGGGACAGTGTGGAGGAAGAAAACTTCAAAATCTCATCTACATCGCATGTCCTAACAAACACATTGGTAATAACACTGGAATTTCCCTGTCATAGAGAAAGATAAATGTGAGACAGTCGCCATTATCAGTGACTTTTGAAAAGTATGACAGCACCGAATTGCTTTATCTACGGATACTTGACAGTGCCGCAAACTGCACAGCACGACAGTAGTATCTCTACATGCGTAACTTCTGCTGAAACAGACAGGATTTTACTAAGCAGAACAAGTAATGTATGGATAGTGGGATGTACACGTGTTCTTTTTGGACAAGCAGTACTTGCCGACCAAATACGGGGTGGAACTGTGATTACTTGCCAAGAATGGTTGTCAGCTTCTGCTGCGAGGAAACCGACAGGTTTGAACATAGCTGAATAAAAGCATCCGTAGTAATCGAATTCTATAAGGTATATTGGGGATTAAATAAGGTACTCGAACATTTCAGGGATGCATTGTGACTTACATTAGCTTCCATGAAAAACAAACCAATCTGGTCATCTGAAATCACTTTGACAGCGTAGTTACAAAACTCATTTTCGCCGTAACCGACTGGATACCCCGGACTGAGCAGAATGCCACTGTCGGAGTTGCCAAACTTCTGATTACATCGGGCGCCAGGTAAAGTATCTGAAATGAATGTATCACCGACTTGCTCTATCAATTGTGGTACGTAATAGAAATTCACGCTCATATCTGCACTCCACGTCGCATTCGCACCGTGAGACAACTGAACTCACAATTCTTGTTCAGTTGAGGACAGCAATAAATCCAGTTACTGAAAGCGCGGTCCTCATACAATGACCCAATAAAACCGCAACCAAACACCAGCCAGTGCACATGTTTGCATAAGCTAACAGCTAGACATCTAAGAAGAAAAGAGCCTCAACCGTAAGCCGGTACTTCGTCCTAATGTTTCGCCATCACACAGCTACCAGTGGTTGCATGCCGGCTGGAGCTACTGCAGGATCGAACGTACTTATGCAGATCCGAAAGGGTGGCTTAATTAGTATAAGCCACCTGCCGCCAGACTCGACGTTCAAGATATAATACATAATCCAAAGTGCGCCATTCAAAGCATCGACTTGGCAGAGAATTGCGCAAAAACCGCATCAGATTGCAGGATGAATAATGATTAGTTGAGGAAAGTTTTTCGAACGATTGTCATGACCTAAATACCGGCAGATTTGACATGTAATGCATGAGAAAGTTACGGGTTCGAGTGATATAGGAGCAAATTTTCTGTTAAATGTGTCTTCAAATGAAGTTCCAAAGGTGTGAACGACTGCAACCTGATGATTCTTGAATGGTGCGACATGCTGACTAACACAGCCCTGCACAAACGCTGGCAGGATAAAGGCCCAGCTGAACCCATCATAATTCATATTTTGCAAAGTTACCCCTAACATATATGTCGGAATTAAAATGGGGGCACCATACCCAACTTACCGAAAACGGCCAACAGTTAAGCATCAGGTTCATATCTATCATAGCTGAAATATCCCGTAGCCGATGCGCCGTATATATGCATCACTGTGGCCGATGTGAACTCACATGTCCTGACATATCTTCACCACGCTGCGTTGCACTCGTGTGATCGGTTGCTTGATTCGGTACCAGAGCTACTCACATGTATTCACCCTGATATTAGCAACTAACCAAACACTGGATTTCGTACTTCATCCAACTGGAACCAATATGCGGCTTTGTCAAGTCAGAGCAGGTCGGTTCGACCGCATTTACTCGCCCCAGTAAATGAACTTGACGTGAAACTGGTTGCAGTAGGTTTTGTCCAACTGTCCCCTTTAATCCTTAGCTAGACAAACAGACCTAGTCTAGGCCGCCAACGGCTTCATCTTTTTTCCCACCTCACCCAGTTTCTGATTACGAGGTTAGCGGTTACAGTCGAGTTAAATTAGGCATTACAAGTGACCGTCGTGTCTGTACTACTATTTTATTTTACCCTCGTTCATCTGACAGTCTTGTTCCTCAAACGCTTGCATACCTTGCTTGAGAAAACCACTATTACGCCATGGTAGCTGTAAACACGCGTTCCAAGAGAAACAAAAATTGCCACCAGCCAAGCTACTGCGTTGACTAATACCACAGTTGTCACAATAAGCGCTAATAATCCCACTCCCTGCAGTCCACCGGACAACATCTAATGCTCTGGATTGCAGGACAGGATAAATGAACTTGAAAAAATTGGAAGTGATTTGCTAGAAATCCTGGCTACTTTTAGGCTTCTGGTTCTTAATATATATTCACTTTTCCACTTAACTAACGCATTTCCTAATCCGTCATCCGACCACCTACATATGGCTGGTAGCACTATTTTCGTGATTTCCATTAAAGTGTCTGAACTTATTACCCATGCAAGTAATGTTATAGTCTTTAGTGTTCCAGATAGGCTATATCTGAAGAAGCTGAAACACTACTAGACATCATCGGGCTTCAAAATGAAGAGTACGTTGCGGTAGGTCTAAAGAAGTGGGGCTTAAAGCATACGCGCCCGGTAATAGTAAAATACAAAAACACAGTTTTACATTGTTAATACGGAATACGCCGGTTATAAAAGCGACAAGCGAACTTAAGCGAATTGTTACAAGGTCAAATAAGACACCACTTGAGTGAATACATATGCCTATTCCATAAGAACAGTGTAAAGTACCTGAACCCTCGCAAACTGACTTACGAACTGCATGTGATGAGCATATCCACACGAATGTTCTTTGCACAGCTGACATAGATGACTCCGCGACTGCAGTTGACTGCTCACTAACACAGCCGATCTGCAGTAGTAATACCACTGCCATCCAGAGACTTAATAATATCAAAAATAGTACTAGTCCGACAGAATTAATGGTAACTTTGATACTATCAACAGATCTACACAGTAGCCGCTCAGATTCTCAGCATACCATTGCCACAGATAGCGTAAGCCTAGACAATATGATTAGCATCAGCGCCACACAGGATGCACCCTGGAAGCTAATAAATAGCAGGAGAATTCCTAACGGCGTTGACACGCACTGCAGCTGTATCAACACTAACAAAGTCACCTCCACTAACTCGACCAAGCTAAGGAATTCGACACCTCAGAGCACACTCATAGCCTTTAACATTCCTGATAATTTTCCAACGGACAATGTATTAAAAAGTTTTACGCAATACTCCAAGTTGAAACGGAGATTATTATCAGCAATCAGGCTACCGCGTGACGAACCGATTATCCCCGCCCTATAAAGCTATTTCTTTCTGGTTCGTCTGCCCTGAATTCCTTGCTCAACCAGTGCGCTCTACTCCGCCGACTGACACTGTATAAGAACCTAACATTTAGACATCCATCTACTTATACCTCAATATGCGAATCGACTATGTTTGCCACCAAACCATCTACCACAAGCCGGAGAGAGTGCTTCAAACTGTGTCCCGAACTATATTCAACCTTTAGAGCCCCATATAATACATCAAGTTACTTTTTTAGGTTATTCGGCGGCCACACGTCAGCCAACCCCAGTGGATCAGCAGGCCTTGCCGTTTATCCAATAGATCATCAACTTAGCCCAAATGTGCCAGACATCAGCGGCATATATTCCGACTGTACTCCCGCAAGTTCCTCCATTACATGGGATGATGCCCTTTGTCCAACCATATACAGACAGTCAGTAAACATGCCTACGCAACATGGATATATTAGAGTAGTTCTCTTAAACGCTCCGTCCTTCAACAACAAAATGCACCCTCTACTTTCTCTACTATTTCTCTCCTGTCCTGACAAACTACTTGTCACTCAGACTTTGGAAAACAAACATATTTCTTATACCCACTTTTACATCCAAACTTCCGCAGCTTTAGAAGTAGTCGCATATCTCGCTGCGGTAGTAGTTGCCGCATATATGTGGACAATAAACACGGTGTATCTTCTGTGTACGACCCACTTCTAGATGACCTTGATGACTCCGTTTGTATTAACATTCAACTAGTGCAAAACCATCCTTATTGCCTGTGTGTACAATTCACCACAGTGTCGTAAATCGGATAAAAATCGCCTCGTGGAAGTCTTCTCATATGCCTGAGCAGCGCGCAACTCAGAAAATCATTGGTGGAGACATGAATACGCCTGAGATTTCCTGGTATCCACCACGGTCCCCAATAAAATATCTGCATTTTGTTACAGCAATCCATACCTTTAATGGGATACATCAACTTCATATCCAACTACTAGTTAGACCTAAGCTTTACAAAAGACATGTATTAGAAGTACATGCATCATCCCCAATCTTCCTGGGAGTGAGCACAAAATAGCAGGTATCAGCTTGGAAGGAATCGCCTACAACACCGATACATGCAAAAAGAGTAGAAATTTTCGTGACTATTACATGAAGGACTGGAAATGTTTGCAATCAAATTGCCATCTCTAGACTGGGATGACTATTTCCTCTCTCCTGAAGCTCAACAGGAAGCTGACTTCTTAAAACGAAGCATAATCTCGTGTCTAGATACATTCTGCCTGATGCATCACGGGCATACTTCCCTCAAAAAGAGTCAGACCATTATCCCGTCACCTATAATACCAAAGCTGAAGAAGCCACGATATAGACTTTAAAGGGCGAACAATTTTATAATGAGTGGTGGTGAGGATATTTGTATAATTCAGCTAAGTCGTCCTCGTCACTCCCAATCAGCGGGATTAGGCTAGTCTGGAAAAGCACCCGACGCCGACGTTTCGACCGCCTGGGTCTCGTCAGTGGTGCGCCTCCCAGCGGACCCCTGCCAGGGTCCGCCCCATGACTTCAGGATGCCAGCAGCTAGTGCCACTTCGTAATGGGTGACAACTACGGACCTGCGTGATTGACAGTTGACTATGATGCAGCTTTGCTCATCTTCCATGGCCATGCCAGGTACGAACTGTGCAGAGGACAATGGCTAGCCTCACTAACAATTTTACTATTAATTCAGTAAAATCAAATAATGTCATCCTTAGAAACTAATCGGTCCATGAAACTTCTCAGAGAAGAAACCAATATCTTAGCCTCCTGCAATAAACCAAAGAAAATGACTAGTCTAATCCAGCACAGAAGCAACTTAAAGCATATCATACAGCCTTCCAATATACTGTCACAAAACAGCCATTCTGCAAAACCAGCTCAAATGTGTGAGGATTTCAATGAACCCTTCTCATCATTTTCCACAGAGCCGTGCATTTGCCGATGGTAAACATCCCCAATAAAATTGCAGATTACATCTGTACTGTTCGATTTGAGCAATCGGATATAAGAACTCTGATATACTCAATGCGAACGAGCTTTTATCCTGGTCCGGATGGACTGCCGTCCGCTGTGCTCGAACTCGGTGGCTATGATATCCCTATACTTCTTAAAAATATGTTTACGCTATCCATGAAGTCTGCGGTTGCTCCAGATGTGTGGAAATATGCTTTGACTTCACCACGATATAAAAGTGATCCACGTCAATTACGGACGAGCTATCGGCTCATCAGCCATACCTCCATTTTGAGTAGAACAATGGAAGGGGTAATAAAAACAAAAATTGTTGAATTCCTATCGTCCCAAAATATGATCGATACTTCCCAGTGCAGATTTTTAAGAACACGGTCATGTAGTAGTTGTCAAGTAAATTTACTAAAATTCGGTGCACGTTCCATTGACCGTGGTAAGCACCTAAACATCATATTTCTTGATATGCATAGAACGTTCGAAAGGGTATCACTTGGAAATCTT